TGAATTACATGTAATTCACATGTAAATCACAAATGATTCACATGTGTCACAAGTGATTCACATGTGAATTACAAGTGATTCACATGTAAATCTCTTTATTCATCATCATTTTTCTATATAAACTTGTTGATATTATGTGATAATTACCTGAAATCTAAGAAATATGTAATTGTAGAAAGCTCTCACAACTATAGCTTGATAGGAACCTGAATAGAAAATTTTGAATGATATTTGTGACACATCACACATACATTCTTCACAGTCTGATTTGTATCTAATCTGTAAAAAAAATATATTAAGAACATAAAGTTTTTTATAGAAATTATCATTGGAAAAATGAGTATTTGTTTCATAATCATATACCGGATTAAGACTATGATAATGCCAAATCCATTCACAATCAAGAGGAACAACTAAAGGCCCTTTAGTGATTTTAGACTCTGAATGTTTAGCAAGCAATGGAAGCCAACATGCATTGTACCTGAAATTAGTTTTTTTTCATTAAATTATAAGTTTTTGTTACTAAAAAAGTAATAATCAGTTGAGTTACCTATAGATTGCCCATTGCAATGTATGGCCTTGATAAAGCCAACGGTTTCTGTCTACAACTGCAAGAAATTGCAGCTGAAGCTTATCAGCAGTCAAAAGATCTTCACTGATAAAGATGCTCTGTGCTGCATTCCATTTAGACTCCTGTTCTGTTTCCATTTTGATACACACCTAGAAATCAAGATGAATACAAGTAAGAAATCTATTGGTTTTTGTCAATATAAGATGAGTGTTGCTACCAATGTGAAAAAGTCTAAAAGAGCCCTACCAAATCCAAAAATAGGCCTGTAACTACAATTAAGATAAGAACAGATCAAAATTCTCTTACAAACCACTTCTTCTTTACTTATGACATAAAGCATGACTTAATAGAAAAAGTAAATGTGGATTTCCAAGTTAACTTCTAATAGTTAACAAATATTTCCCTAATTAGGCATTGTAGCATCATCTTTAGTGATTAGCTGGTCAGCAAAATCTTGCCAATCATTTGATTTGGAAATATCCTCAGGTGGCAGGCCACAAGAACCATAGTCAATGGGATGAAATTACCAAGGCACAATTAACAAAGGTAAAGGGTGAAAACATTCTTTGAAGCATTTCAACAAACATGTTGTGTGCTAAAAACAAACAAA